TCTTGATTGCATGTTCGATCTATCTCCGACTGTAAAAGTTGGTAGAAATCATCTATTTCTTCTTCCTTGGCTCTGGTTGTTGGTGCATATATCTGAATGACAGAGGCTTAGAGAGGTGAAGCTAATTGCCTAGTCCTCCTGTCTGCTCCCAAATCCCGTGCTCTCACTACCCTCTGAATTTCCCCTAGAACAATCAAGGTATGTCTGTCGAGGCCCACAGAACTAAGGGACTTGGGCCTCACTTTCCAGTGAGTCAAGGTGGTGAAGGGAGCGGGGATGTCAGTGTGGCTTGGGCTGGTGGCCAAGGCTGAGAAGGGTCTAGCCAGGTGAAGAACAGGTGGAGGACATATGTTCCAGGTAGAACATCAGAATCTGTATTTGCAAGATAGTGGGAGACCTGGTGAGGTGCAGGGCCACGTGCTCAACAGTTGGCCACTAGCAGGCCATGTTTACTAGCATGGAGGGGGGTGGGCAGATGGATGAAAAGTTGAGAAGGGGGCTGGACTCCCCGCAGGTCACAGCAGCTCTGTGGGAGGTGCTGACAATCTGCTCTTCCCCCACTGGGCGTAGATAGACATGGGAGAAGAGTTACCATTATCAGTGGGTGGTGGAATAGGCTGATGGGAAGCTTAGAGCCAAGGACAAAGCTGAGCTGAGCGTCCCTGCTGTGAAGACACAAAGCTAGCTAGCTATCAGGAATGCCAGGGACTTTCCCTTAGCAGCTGTGGCCTCTGGAGCCTTCACGTAGCTGGGGGAACCTTGAAAAGGTGCCATCACGTGCATCAGCGGCTCTTCAAGGCCCTCACTGTGGTGTGCCGGTGAATGTTTACGAGCAGAGACGGAGGTGGGGGCAGCGGTTTATAGCATTCAGTGACTTTTGTGGGTCATTCCTCCTACTCTGGCTGATATCAAGCTACCAATGTGATATCACTGAATACAGAGTGATATCTGAGTGGCCCCTCTGAGCCAGCACGCCACTACTCTTAGTGCCCACCATCCACCCGTGAGTGCACCCTCATTAGCAGGACCCCGGGAGGAAGGAGTGGGTCATCCGGTGTGTCCTGAGCTCAGGGCCAGTGTTCCACTGAAAGGCCCTTGGTGTCATGTCACAGTCAGCCCCACTCATTAGTTCCAAAGAGTCCATAGGGTCAGTGTAAGTGCTTAATATGTTGGCATCAACATGTGACCTCCCCAACAGCCAGAAACTATCAGGTCACAGAAATCCTAACTCACACCTGAGTCCCAGAAAGAGGCTCTGGAGCCACTAGAGACAGAAGAGAATGCAAGATCACAGTGCAGGGTGTCTGTCCTCCGTAACCTCGTACCCCAGTTCCATTTGACTGTCACCTTTCATTATTATTTGCCAAAAGGGCCAACTTGGAATCTGAAATCCCACCCCCCTTCTTCCTGCACTGGGGCACACCCTCCCTGTGCTGGGGCACACCCTCAGTGAACGGAAATGGTGGTTCAAGGGACAAAAGGTTCCTGAGGGGAAGGACTAAGAATGCTTCTGCCAGGGTGCTGGTTCAGGGATGATGGGAGCAGCCAGGCTCAGAGGCCAGCCATGGCCTCCCCCTTTCAGCTGCCTGCTGGCCCCACCTCAGGCAGCCTGTGGGGGAGCGCAGCTGGCCAGTGGAGCCATTTGCCCAGATGTGGGACTTGAACTGAGGAGGATGAGTCTGCTCTCTGTCCCCAGGTGCTCCCTCTGTGAGCCCATGGTTCCCAAGAGTGAATGTCGTCCTCCCAAGGCTCACGCCTCCTACCATGATTGTTCCTCTTCCGCACTGCAGGTTTTTCATCATCAAAGAGAGCTTTCTGCTCTACTACTCTGAGAGTGAGAAAAAGAGCTTTGAAACCAATAAATACTTCAATATACATCCCAAGGTGAGACGGCCTCTTCCAGGGCCTCAGCTGGGAAGGGTCCGGTGCAGGCAGCAGGGGTGGGCCCTTGTGAGGGGGGAAGATGTTCTGTGGTCTTGCTCAGCCCAGCAGAGCCTCGTCAGCAGATCTCTCTGGAGAACAGAATCCCTGCCACCCTCCTGCTTTAGGTCCACCATTCTCCTGTGCCTCCAAGTCTCCCTTCCTCTATGGGGGTCAACTGGCCTCTGTCCAGTGGTTCAGGGTCTAGCTTCCACCCCGAGGCCCATAGCAGGACCTGGCTTTGACAGAGGCCCTCAGGGGTGCCTGTGTGACTGGGTCTGGGTTGAGACTGGGCTGCCTCTTCTGGTTCTTCCTCAGGGTGTCATCCCTCTGGGGGGCTGCCTGGTGGAGGCCAAGGAAGAGCCCAGCATGCCCTATGCTATGAAGATCTCCCACCAGGACTTCCACGTGAGTTAAGCTCTCTGCTCAGCCTGGTTCATCCCCAGGCTCTCTGGGAAGCCCCTTTCAGAGGTCTTCTGGAAGGCTGGGAGGGGGAACAGAGCTGTGAGCCCAGCCTCAAGAGCTTCTGGGAGCCCCACCTCTCAAGCAGCTCTGTGGCTCCTCCTGGCAGGGGAACATCGTGCTGGCTGCCGAGTCCGAGTTTGAGCAGACCCAGTGGCTGGAGATGCTGCAGGAGTCTGGAAAGGTGTAAGTGGTTACTGGAAGTGGGGCCACGTGAGGGCCCAGAAGGGGAGGGAGGTATGGGCTGAGCTGCCTATAAGCTCCCTGCCCTCCTGCTGGGTCCCTAGTGGGCAGTGAGGTCCCAGGAGAGAGCTAGATGGGTAAGGATCTTTTGCGGTGTCCTTGAGGACAGAGCTGTGGGAGTGGGTGATGTGGGGCAAGGGCAAACAGGCAGGTTTTAGGGAGTCTGTGAGGGGTCTTTGACATGATTCTTGAAAGTCATTGCTTGTCTAGGGTCACAGGGGGCTGATGTGGTACCTGTGTGTCTCCAACTCTTAGGAGCCAGTTCAGTATCATACCTTAGAGCTAGCCACCTCCCCACACTCACCCTACCTCCCTAAGAACCATTCATTAATCCTAGTAAGAACCTATTCAAAACCCGGCTGGGGATTTTGTAAATCTGGGTCCAGATCATGAACATTCCCACCCAGCACTGTCCATTTGCACGTGGCCTCCTGTCTGGCACCTGCCCTTGTGAACTGAGAGCTGCATTTAGTTCAGCCCTTAACTCTGAGTGTGCACATGCCAGGCCTCAGGTAAGTTGTGGGCATTCTGCGCTCTGGAGATGCTCTCAGCCCAGGAAGCACTCTCCTCCCTGCTCTCTGAGAGTGTTGTTGGCCCAGCCCTCAATGGCGCACTTTACAGCCTAGTCTGTCCCCCAGTTACAGTAACCGATCGATGCTGGTGGTGTGCCCAGAGCCCTGAGCTTGTGCTGAGATTCTGGAGGAGAAAGGATGGATGAAGACAGATGTGCCCATCCCTTCTCCTCTCCTTTCTGTTCTGACGATGTTGATCTTCCTCTTCTCCCTTCTTTCCCATCTGCCCTTCCTCTGCAGGACCTGGAAGAATGCCCAGCTAGGAGAAGCCATGATCAAAAGTCTGGAGGCCCAAGGCCTGCAGCTGGCCAAGGAAAAGCAGGAATATTTAGGTTGGCTGGAGGGATGGACTGGAAAACAGACCTTTAATGAAATGCTTCTTTAAAGATTGTTGTTGTTTTGTGCTGTCGTGGCTTTGGAACTGACTCATTGCTGCTCCTCCAGTAAGTTTTCCGAGGCTGTAAATCACCCAGGAGGACACTGCCCATCTTTCTCTCCCAGAGCAGCTGGTGGATTTGAACTGTGTGCTTTTGGGTTGGCAGCACAATGTCATACCAGTAAGCCACCAGATCTCCCTCCTGTAAAGATTACAGCCAACAAAGCCCCACGGAGGGGTTCTACCCCATAACACATGCAGTTATCCCGAGTCGCGATGGCAGAAAGTTTTAGTTTGTTAAGAGTGCTGGACTCCACTTTGTCATGTGCCTTTTAGCTGTTTTTTTTCTGAAGACAGCTTGGCCTCTCTGAGTCTCTGTTTTCTCAGCCTTAAAATGGAGATGAAAATAGTCCCTGCTTTCCAGGGATCTTTTAAGTGGTGAATTGTAATGTGGTGAATTAAGCTAAACAAAAACTGGATGGTTTGAATCCACTTCCCACTTTGCCCTTTCCCATTAGACCACAAGAGTTAGGTCACTGAGCCCTAGTAAGTGCATTCTGTTTTGGAGAGAAGGTGAGCATGGGGCTTCGGACCTTTACATGGAGCTCCTAGGTCCTGGCAGAAACTTTGGACCTTAGCGCTGGCTTCCCTCTGCCTGCTCCAGACACTCCTTTACCCCTAAGATCCAGTTCTCCCTCATTAGCCAGAAACTAGTATAGTGGGAAGAAGGCTGGGGGTACCCCTCTACTGTAGGCGTGAGGTGGTGTCATGCAGGGACCCACTTGAACTCCAAGGATGAGACTCTACCATTGCTTTTGCACGTACAAAGCAGGCACCGCTGTCCCTGGGAGGGTGGCAGCTCAAGACGATGGAGTAGTGTCCATCGCCAGAACTTGATCCAACTCTCTGGTTCTCATGATCGTGGTAATACACACCTCATCCTTGGGAGAGGCTGGGATGACCCCCCCACCCCCAGGCCTTTGAGCTGGAGCTAGCTCTGTGAGAATGTGTGTGCTTGCTTTGGCAGACAAACTGATGGAAGAGACAGAAGAACTCTGTCTGCAGAGGGAACAGAGAGAGGTAGGTGTACACTTGGCATCCCTGCCCCTCCTCACACACCCCTCACCCTGTGAAGTTCTTAACAACCAAAGGGCACTGGCTTGGGTGTCCAGCATTAGGGAATGATGTATGAGAGCTGGATGCACAATTTGCTGGAAAATAAAATAGGGCCGTGCCGGGGGCCAAGTGAGATGACAGTGCTTGGGACTTGCTGCAGCTTCTTGGCAAGAGGTGTGTTCTCCTTGCCAGCCTCTGGGAGGAAAGCAAAAGGCTGGTGCCACCCTTCTAGGCAAGAATGGTCCAAAATGTTCTTGAGCTGCTTGTCAATGGTGGTATTCATGGGAGGTTGTGGGTGGCCTCTGTTATCCACAGCCAGGCTTCTGGCACTATATGGCGATTGGATTTCATGAGCTCAGAACACCCTTCATTCTCTAAATATCAACAGTACAAGTCCTAAGGGGGACAAGCCTTAGAAGCCCTGGTGATGCAGTGGTTACGGTTTCAGCTGCTACCCAAAAGCTCAGCAGTTCAAATCCACTTTGTGGATTTCTTCACCCTGTGGAGAAAGATGTAGCAGTCTGTGGGGCAAGTTTTCAAGCGATAGAAAGATTTCTGTTCTGTTTCATAAAGTCACTTTGAGTTGGAATCAACATGTTGCCAACAGGTTAGCCTGTGGGATAAAGGAGATCCTTGCTTCATTTGATAGCTGAGGAGACACTGGAGTCCCTTCATTTAGACTTCCCACGTCAGCACACCTTGCATATTTCAGAGTGTTGTCCACCATCCTGCAGCTTGAGGAAGGGCAGTGGTTACTGACTTGGACTCTGAAGCCAGGCTGCCTATGTTTGCATTTGAATTGTATCATTTGTGGCTGTGTGCTCTTAGGCAAGTTACTTGATCTCTCTGAATATCAACATCCTCATATTAAAAAATGGAATTTTTTTTTAAAAAAGGAAACATTCTGTTCTACCAAGGATGTTATGATGAATAAGTAACATGTTATATGTGAAATGCTTGGCATATAGTGCATTCTTTTTTTAAAAATTTTATTTTATTAATTTTAATGAACATTTACAGATATTTTAGATTTTCATTCATTCATTGTTGCACTTTTTTCTTTACCCCCCTCCCCTTAGTTTGCTCCTCTCTTTGAAAAGCAAAGGGTAAATTTCTTCGTTGGTATACAATCCTCCCCCACCCCTGACCCCTTACTCTGTCCCCTCCCCCACCCTGCCCCAAATGCACTCCACTATAGTACATTCTTTTTTTTAAATAATTTTAATGAACATTTACAGAGAATTTGGATTTCCATTCATTCATTGCTGCACTTCTCTACCTGCCCAGCCCTCTCCCCCTGCCCCCCCATATAGTACATTCTTAATACATATTTGTTGCTGGTAGTATTGTTGTTGTTATGTACCCACAAATTAAAACTGATGCATAGCTGACCCTTTATGGGGTTTTCAGATATAAATTGCAAACTAGGAGATTTCCCATCTTTCTCCTGAGGAGCAACTGGTAGATTTGAACCATCTGCCTTTGAATTGGCAGGACAACTCCTTACCACTTGGCTACCAGGTCTCCTGTTAGCATTATCGTCATGGGTATTAAGCACCCATTCAATACTGGAGCTGCCTGGGGTCTGAAGCTGCAGGAGACAGGGTCTGATGCAGTCCCCTCTCCCTGCACGTTTGCCTCTGTCCTTTCACAAGCAAGTCACAGGCTGGTGCATCCTTGACTCAGTGTCCAGTTCTGAAAGGACTCTAGATAAGTCCTCGCCCTCTTAGCTCGTCCCCGGGAAGCCTGGACCACCCCTCCTTGAGCTCAACAGCCTCTATAGTCAACAAGTCTTATGTCCTCTTTGTGTCCTGAGCCCTCTGATGCCAGCACAGCATCTGGCCCAAAATGAATGCTCGGTCAGCGTGTGGGGCCTGAATCGCTGGGTCAGACACAGCAGGCTCCAACACCTTTACATCACATTTTCATTTTAATCTGGGAAGACAGTCCGTTCTCATTTTCCTTTTTCCAGTATTTCCCCCAGATATTGCCTATTTATTTTTCCAGCTGGACTTCACAACCATTCCGTCAATCACTAAACCCAAATCTGTTGGGGATTTGCATTAGGATTGTGGGAGTTTGAGGCGACTCAGCATCCTGTCAGGCCTGAGCCCTCTGCTCAGTGGTGTCATGGGCGCCCTCTTGTCTCCAGATGCTCTTCCAGGTCCCATGCTGGAGATCTGGTGTTCTCTTCGTACACTTCTGCATGTTACAAGAAGTGAGACTTTAACTGAGTTGTAAGCAACATAAAGACAAGTGATGCAGGAAACCAGGGATAGAATGGAGTAACACTCCCACTGTGGAGAGAGAGACTTATCCATCAGAGAGGCGAAATCTGGGGCAGCAGTCAGCTGGAGGAAAATTTAGACATTCTATCTAGGTCTTTAGCCTCGAAATGAGGGCAACGGAGACCCACTGCACACAGGCCTCACTTAAAGCCACAGTGCACTGGAGGAGGGAGGCCTGTCAGCTGAGAACTCCTGGTAGAAAATGTGCTGAGACTCACACAGGCCCAGCTGGCATCACAGTGAGGGCTGCTCTGGGCAGGCAGAGGAAGAGAGGTGTGCCCATGTTCCATTCCCCTGTCAGCTAAGTGCTCTAGATCAAGAATAGGACTCGGACTCTATTCCTGGTTTTGCACTGAGTTGTCCTGCTGGGGATTTTCCTTCCTCAGTTTTCTCATCCACAATATAGGTCCATCTATCTATCGCCTAAGTGCCTATCCACTTCAGGTCACAGGGATCTTCTGGGTGTATCTTAGGCCTCGCTTGTACATTTCCTCCAAATGACAAGAAGATTCTCTGGATCATTTGTGTGATCCCTAAGAGGCAGCGTGGCTTAAAGAAGGACTCAGGGCTTAGAACTGGGAGCCCTCCATTAGTGTCTCAGCGCTAGCACTGACCACGTGACCTCACTGAGCTTCTATTTCTCCATCTGTGACGTTCTGATAGACTAAGGCCTGCTCCTGGCCCTCTCTGAGATTGCAGGGAGAGCCAGTGAGGCAGAGTACAATGAGCACTGCATGGCTTGGAAGGCACACACAGATGTAAGAGTGTGATGACGGCGCAACCCTGGCACCAGGAAGGCCTGGCACTCCGGAGGACCAGAGCAGGGGTGCATGGGAGCCATGCTGGGCTCAAATGCCAGGGCTCAGAAGAGCATATCCTCTCTTAGGCATGGGTTTTCCAGGGCTGCCTGGCCCCTGTGGCCTCATCTCCCTCCTCTTGGGAGGTAGGTAGCCCCCTGCGCACCTATCTTTTGTGGCTGACCTCTGAGGGATCTGCTGTGTGTACAGGGGCATGTCCAAGGAGAAACAAGAAATTCCCAGGGCCAGCCTGGCAGGGTTCTTGTTCCCTAGGCTGTTTGCAGTCAATATACAACTCCATGCCTCTGCTGCTGTCAAGTTGATGCCCACCGAGTGAAACTAGAAGGATAGAGTAGAACTACTCTGGAATTTCTAAGGCGGTGAATCTTCACGGAGGCAGATATAGTCATCTTTCTCCTGCGGAATGGTTGCAGGTTCAGACTGCCAGTCTTCCAGTTAGCCTCCAGACATTTATCACACTGCACCACCAAGGCTCTAATCTAAACCCCACTGCTGTGAAGCCGATTCCATTTCCTGGTGCCCCTCCTTCAGATGTCTGAGGCTGTAAACCTTTACAGCTCTACACATAGCTCACTGTGGCACCAGACCCCTTAGTTAGTATAATCCAGGGCTGTCGAGGTGAGTCTGACTCTGGGGGACTCTTCATCAAGTTTCGGAGGCTAGAAGTCTTTATGGGAGGAGACTGCACTTCTTTGTTTTGCAAAACAGCTGGTAGATTTTAACCCTTGATTTTTTAAAAAAAATTATTTATTAATTTTAATGAAAGTGTGCAGAGACTTAGAAACCCTTGATCTTTTGGTTAGCAGCCCAACACATAGCACACTACCAGGATCCCTTCGGTTAATATAAGGCAGGTACAAAGTGACAATATAGTCAGGGTAGTGAAGTTTCTTCCCAATTTCTAGTCTAAGTGCGGTTCCCTGCACTTAGCCAAAAGGTCCCTCAGACCCACTGATGTTGAGTCAATTCCAACTCATGACGAGCCTCCCGCCGGGTTCTGAGACTAAATCTTTATAGAGGAAACTGCTCATCTTCTTCCTGAGAAGTAAACCATTGTCTTCTTTATGGATCCAGCACACAATGAGATCTTTTTGGGATTCCATTCCTTTGTTCCCTGCAGATGAGCGTAATAGGTGCCAGGCACCTGCTGGCCTGGATGCTGAGCATGTGAAGAAGAGCGAAAGCATGGTGCTCTCCAGAGCTGAGCATCTGCGCCGGTCCCTCCCCCATCTGGAGCGTAAGCCACGCTGCTTATCAAGGGGATAGTAAGTGTGAAGAGGATTGGAAACTGTCCAGTGAAGCCTGATGGGCAGGAAGTGTTTGGCCTGGAAGAGAAATTTGGGGACAAAATTGTTGCTATGTGCGATCAAGTCACTTGCAATTCATAATATACCTTAGCTCTGAACCCTGCCCTAACCTGAGCCAGTCTCATTGTCTCTAACACACCTACCCCCATTACCCCAGTTACTATACCAATCCATCTCCTCCAGCGTCATCCCCTTCTGTGCTCTCCCGCCACCCTTCCAAGCATGTTGTCCTTCTCCAAGGACTGACTCCTTCTGGCAGCATACCCAAAGAAATCCTACAAGGAGAAACTTGGTTTCATCCTCTCCAGGACAGACTTGGTTTTCTCTTGGCAGTCCATGGTATGTTCAGTACTCTTCTCCAGCACCACAACTCAAAGGCATCTATTCTTCTTCTTTAATTTTTAGTCATTGTCCAGCTCTCTGACGCATAGCAAGTAATTGCAAAGACTATGGCCTGAATCAGGTATACCTTAGTCTCCAGACTGACACCATTGCTCTCCAGTACTCTGGAGAGGTCCCTGACAGAAGATTTTACCTAATGCAGTTTGTCT